GAAAATCTTAAGCAGAAAATCTAATAAAAACCCCCCTTACATGTTGTTCTTCATTGTAAAAAACCCTTAAAAACTTTGCCACATTATTGTATGTTGAATTCAGCAAAAGGGTTGAAAATATTGTTGTGAAAAATTAAAACTTGGGTTGTTTCTTTGTAATGAAGATTTGCAATATGGAAGAATCAACCAGTATGAACAAATTGGCATGCAAATGCAACAACTATGTTTTTTTTTTTTTTTTTGAAAAACCAATTCACTTCTTTTTTTATAGAATGATTGGTTTCTCTTAGAAGGGAGAAAAAAAGTTGGATGCAAAGAGGAACTCATGGTGGAAATCATTGTACCTTTTATATCACTTATCAACTTCTATATGGCTATAAGTAGCCAGAACAGTAGACTTCCTATACTAAAAGACACAATGATTTTAGTAAGTGTTCAAAAAAGATGAATGTAAGTGAACATAATATATGAGTAGGTGATACCTATAGAATGATGAAACGTAATCTTCAGGCTCCTTCTTGTTATACCATATGCATGCAATAGCATGACAACATGGTATTCCACTTAAATCCCACTTCCTACAACCACATTTCTGTTGAATCAAGTTCACAACATATGTTTCAACACCGTTTGAAACTCCGAATATAACAAAGTCATCATCTGAATGCCATGTTGCAATTCATCCTTCTGCTGCCCTCTTTGTTTTTTCCAAGGACTTTTTGAATGTTAGGACTTGTAACACCTGTGTACCTACTTAATTTCTCCTTTTGAGCAGAGATTCTCATTGTTATGTAATGTTTGATTCCTTCAAGTAGTCAAATGATCGGCTTATCTCTATACTTCAAGATTGTGCAATTAAAAGCCTCACACATATTGTTGACTTGCAAATCACATTGTGTGTCTATTTTGAAATGAGACCGAGTCCAACATGCAGCTGGGACATCCATCATGTCTTTCCAAGCATTGACATTGAGCTCTTTCATATGATTCATTGCTCTTTCCATGCAGGTATTGTTGTGACTCTAGCTGCCCGCCATAAAGCTTCCTTCATCAATATCCCAGGATATTTCTTTCTCCAATTGTCATACAAGTGTTTAACACATAGTCTGTGTTCAACATGTTGGTTTGTCTTAAGAATAACCGGTATCAATCCTTGAACATACAACATAATATAGCAGCCAACAAACTAAATAACATTGTAAACAATGTAATATAAATAACAAGTAATACACAACAGCCAACAAGCAGCCAACATTGTAAATAACGCATATCAGCACTGTAATGTAAATAACATAGTAGCAACATTGTAAATAACACATATCAGCACTGTAATGTAAATAACATAGCAGCCAACATTGTAAATAACACATATCAGCACTGTAATGTAAATAATATTATAAATGGCATTGTAAATAACACATAGCAGCACTGTAAAACTAACCTTCTGTTGATCTGATATAAATTCATATTTGTTGTCTTGAATAGATTGCAAGTCTTCTAGTAACAAATGAAGGAACCATTGCCAAGAGTCTTTCGTTTCATCTTCCACGACGGTATAAGCGATTGGATAAATCTTGTTACTTCCATCCTTACCAACAGCACCTATTAACTGACCTCCAAAGTTCTTTTTAAGAAAACAAGCATCCAATCTTATTAGAGGCCTGCAAGTCGTTGCAAACGCTACCTTACAAACTTCTAAGCATACATATATTCTTTCAAACACAAGACCACCATCTGAATCATCACACTTAATTTTAATAGTGAGAGTATGTTGTATTGATTTGGAGTTGAAATGTTATATTCTAAGATAGGGCAACTCTTAAGTATAGTTAAAAAAAAAAAAACAATTATACAACAAATCCATTTTCATTTTGCTTATTTTTCTGCTCATTTTATTATTTTTTAATTTTAGTCGGTTCAGTTGGGGATGAACTAAAAACACTGCAGTCATTACAATTCAAGTTTGCTACAATTCTATATAAAATATTCTCACTGTCAATCTACAAAAGTATAATATCGGAGACAAAGAGAGATATAAAAAATAACTATATCTATTATGGCAGGGTGTTCTTTCTGATGGACAAGTAATAGCAGTAAAGAAACTCTCAATAAATTCAGGACAAGGTTCTATAGAGTTTCAAAATGAAATATTACTGATGGCCAAGCTTCAACACATAAATTTGGTGACTTTGTTAGGATTCAGTTTGGAAGAACGAGACAAAATGCTTATATATGAGTATGTGCCTAATAAAAGTCTTGATTATTTTCTATTTAGTAAGGATTCTCTAACTTTACACTTTGCATTTCATAAATTAAAACTACACAGTTTCTTAATAAAATGGTTTATTATAAATTTGTAGATCACAAAAAACACAGGGGGTTAGATTGGTTCGAGCGTTACAAAATTATAGGAGGAATCGCACGAGGAATTTTTTACTTACACGAGTGTTCAAGACTTAAAGTCATACATCGAAATCTCAAATCTAGCAATATATTGTTAAATGATAATATGAATCCAAAAATATCGGATTTCAGTTTGACAAAAATAATTCCAATCGATCAAGAACCAGAAAAAACTAACAGAATTGTCGGAACATAGTAAGTTTTTTTTTAGAATTTCATTCTTTAATCATAGATGCTTACATATCTTGAGACCTTTCACTTTACATCCTCTTTAGATCGATTGAGTTTTTTCTTAAATCCAATATTTGCTAGACTACATATCTATAATCATCAACAAAATTGAGAAAATAGCACTTCTTGTTATCTAGAATTTCATGCATAAAATATACTACTTCATAGCTTAAATTTCAACAAGATTTTAACATCAAATATAATTTTTTATAGTGATTATATGTCTCCGAAATATGCAATACATGGACAATTTTCTAAAAAATCAGATGTGTTTAATTTTGGAGTTATAATTATTGAGGTAGGTAGTGGAAAGAGAAATGTTCGTCCTATTGAGTCAGATGATTTTGATGACCTCCTAAGTATTGTAAGTATTGAAATTTAATATTATTTTCTTTGATGGTGCTCATGTACATAACCACATATTTAATCACACATGGAAAAAACAATGATTTGAAATCTTAAATTTGAGAAATTCATGCAGGCATGGAGAAAATGGAGGAGTGAAACGCCATTAGAACTGTTGGATCCCGATCTAAAAGACTTATATTCTCATAGTGAAGTTATTAGGTGCGTTCAAATTGGTCTGCTATGTGTTCAAGAAAGTCCAATTGATAGACCAACAATGGCACAAGTTGTCTCATATCTCAGTAATGTTTTAGTTGAATTACCATTTCCTCAAGAACCAGCACTTTCCATGGATAGGAGAAGGAGGTTAAACATAAAAACAGAGTCTAGTTCGGGGCAGTTTAACAGTAATTCTTTAGGATCATCAACCAATGACATGACCAAGAGTCAATTTTTCCCTAGATAAATAAGAGGTTGATTTTTCTCTTCAAATTATTTTGTATATTTTGGTAACAAATCGATATTTACTTCATTGGTGTCAATTGTATCAAGTTCATATTATTATAGGCGAAAGGATTGTTTATTGTATTTTTAATGGTGCTTATGCATTTTAGTGAAAATACAAAGTGTTTAAAATATGAAAATATATTTTTGGACGCACTAAAAGTCTACACTATATTTATTCGTAAATAAGTGGTATAATCAATTTGTCATTAATTAGTACGGAGATGCATTTTTGTATATCTCCATACGGGTTTTGAGTTATATTAATGCGTCAAACCTTTTCCATTCCTTATTTTCAAAAAAAAATTCTCTAAGCCAAAGCAAAAGGTATGTGTGAAAATTCTGAGTTCACTATCTTTCAATCTTGCTCAAATTTTCTATTGCATTGCGTCTAATTCAAGAGTTTTATCAATTACTATTTACATGTATTCAATCTATGAGCTTTCATTTCTTACATTTGGTAAGTTTATTCAATTCCTTTTTTAAAAAATTTGTGACGCATGCATTAATTATTAAATAAGCTAAAGTACATTAGCTTTTAGCTACACTCATCCTTAGATAGTTTATCGAGGCATGCACTAACATTTATACTATAGCACACGAGGCATTTTTGTGTTTTCTGTCATTTTTGTTTTAAAAAAATATGAAAGTGCATTTCTATATTTTATCTAAATTTGATTTTTCAGAAATACACAAGTATACTTCCGTATTTTTATGCATTATTTGATTTTGCATATCTATTATCTAATTTGAATTTGCTTACTTTATCTACTTTAATTATAGGTAAAATGGCTTACAACCAAGATTGATTGAGGCACGGTAGAATGTTTCAGTATGCATTTGTTCGCAAGGAGAAAGGTAGACTCTCGCGACCAGCAATTAGCGTCAGCTCATTTGATGCAGAAGTGACCACTTTCGAAGTTTAGGTGTCTCTCCCTTCGTCTTTCTGAGGCACATGTCACCTGTTGCATCACCAAAATCCCCACCGGTCCATGTTCATGCACCTGCTGTTGATGTTGTCATTCATGATGTCGTTCCTGAAGTTTTTTGGAGGAGACTCGTATGACACTTTACTACTGTCTCTATATGTAAACGATGTTGTTAGGAATATGTGGGATGAAGAGGTAAAATATATCTATATTTATTTTTTTGAAACATGTGTGTTATAATATTTAAATTTTACAACAATGATGTATTTTTTTTTGTGGTATTGTGATGCTTTAAAATGCACCAATCACGATAGGAAAATTGTGAAGTTACAACAACTTGAGGAGAAATGGTTTTGTGATATCATGCAGCTATCTGGGCTGCAAGATTCATGCATGACTGGTTATACAATTTTTAATCTTGATATGTTGTCAACTTTTGTGGAAAGATGACGCTTAGAAACGTCATTTTTTTCATCTTCTGCATGGTGAGATGTCCATCACATTGGATGTTGTATCATCCATGTTACATCTTTTGATTAGGGAAAGATTATTAGACCATTTGTCTGAACAAGTCATGCATCAGTTCTGATTTCAACAAGGTATTTCAAGAGACTCATTTGTGTATGCTCCTCTCACTATGGTCCGCACAAAATTCGATGCAATGTTTGATGATTTCTATAATCATTTGGTACCAAAGAAAGCACAAAGTGTGTCAGCTTATCACCAATGGAGTACTACATTTGACTAATGGTATTTCAAAATGTTATATCCTTACATGACATTGGATGCTTATGGAGATCCACATAAGCCTGCTCATCAGACGATATTAGAGGAGTAACTTAGGGCAAATCATGTCATTTATGTGTTACATACATGTTCTCGTAATATGGATATTATGTGCGTGGGTATAGAGATATGAGAGTTTTCGAAAAGCACTCTTGTATATAAATGTCATTATATATGAGACACAAACGACATTGCAGCAGATGAAGCAGAGAAGAAACATAAGGTTAGATATACCCAGTAGTTCATTTTTACTTCTATTTTGATATTATTTGTATTATGATTTATAATTTATCAACAATGATGTTTGGTTTTTAATTTTGGATTGATTCTAATATACGACAATTTAATTGATTTACATCACTGTATAATTTACTTGATAACAAAATAATTTTTAATAGTATACTTAATATAAACAAACCTATAATATAAAATTTAATATAAACAAACCTATAATATAAAATTTCTATAAAAAATGTCAAATTTATAATAATCTTATTGTCAAAAGATTATTACAAAAGTATATGCATGTAATAAGCATACAAACATGAATTCAAAATCAAAATGTGTTTGAAATTATTCCCTTAGTTATGAAATAAGCATACAAACATGAATTCAAAATCAAAATGTGTTTAAAATTATTCCCTTAGTTATGAAATAAGCATACTAACATGAATTCAAAATCAAAATGTGTTTGAAATTATTACAAAAATACACGGACTCACCCTTCTGAAAAGACAGATACATTTCCAAACTATTTTTTAGTAAAATAGGGTGAATGCATATGTATTTGCAGTGCGTGCAGAAATATATTTCTATATTATGGCAAGGACATTTTCAGATTTCATTAGAGTTATTCTTCATCGGTAATGGTGGAAGAGCAACCCCATAGGCAAATAGGCTTAATTTAGTAACAGGTTTTTATTATATTAATAGATGTACAATGGTGTCTCAATAATAATTGCTCTAGTTCCTCCAGGTTAGCTAATAATACTAAATCTAGTTCAAAGGAATTTTCAGAAGAGGGCTCTTTACAAACAGAGGATTCTTTATATCTTAATTAGGGCTGGAAATGAGTCGAGTCGAGTCGAACTCACCTCAGCTCGGCTCGACTCGTTAAGAATTGTTCGAATTCGAGTTCGAGTTCGACACGAACTTTTTTTTAAGCTCAAACTCGACTCGTTATAAGTTCACGAACAGTTCAGTTCGACTCGTTAGGTTCATCTCATTAGGTTCAGCTCACATGGTTCACGAATTTAAAAACTATTTTTTAAATATATATATTTTTTAGTATATTTGACATTTTAAATAAATATATATTTTTTAAATAAAATATAAAAATAAAATAAAAGTTATCATATTGAAATTTAACTTTATCTTCGAAATCTACTAATTCAAAACCTACACAACTTTCAAGAGAAATATTTGAAAGTCTAATTCAAAAACAACTAAATTGAAGATTAAATTTGTCTAAGATTTGAAGTAAATATTTAAACCTAATCTTAAAGACAGTATAATTCTTTTCATATGTAATCGAGTTGACTCATGAACCTAACGAGTCGAACTATATATAGTTCAAGTTCAGCTCATTTAGTTAACGAACTTAATTTTTCGCTCATACTCAACTCATTTGGTTCATGAACCTAGTTCAACGATTTAATTGTCGAGTCGAATTCCGAACTATCTTCGAGTTGATTTGATTCATTGCCAGCCCTAATCTTAATAGTTCGCCCATGGAACATATAGTACTAATCGAATCAAGATTGTTCCAGAAGTTTAATCTTAGTAGAAAAGAACATGTTCAGCTTAAGAAGTTGACCAGGGAGCATATAGAACTGTTAATTCAAGTTTGTTGCCAAAGGAAACTTAGTCTCAGACTCTTAATACAAGTTAAAAGTATTTTAGCTATATTTCCTTAGGCTTACAAAAGTTAAATGTACTCTTATACAAAAAAAAACTGTATAATCATTGTTGTCCGTGTATCTCATGAAAATCAGCAGACAAGAAAACTCTTATACAACAAATCGGTATGTAACATATCTTCCTGCAGTCTCACTTGGCCGGATAATCTTAACAACTTGTCCACGCTTCAGGCCATAATATCTTGCAACAGGATCTGTTACCTGGATTCTAGGTAGCTGAGAAGCAGAACATAATATTAGATATAATGAACATTGTCAGTATCCGCAAAGTTTAGTAGTGCAATGCTATAATTGTTAACGCAGGATAGTATATTAAGAATACTACATCCAGTAGACAAAGAATGAAGGAGTAAACACTAAGTTGTTTGTTTCTACATGCTTAATTACATCCAAATCGTAATCATAAACTAAGTTGTACTTTATCATGGAACCAGAAAAGAAAGAAAGATGAAGATGGAGAAGATAGAGGCCTGTGTGTGCGGGTATACATATTAAGTATAAAAAAGGCATATAACCATAATCATATAATTTCAGAATGAAGAGTATATGGCTTTCCAGACTGACATGTAGTACTTCATTGGAGTCTCATCTAGATACCTATAACTACCAAATACATGAGCAATAAAAATTAATTTTGTGAAGATTTCTGAGTGTTTGAGGTATGTTGAAGTGAAGAAAACAAATGTTTTTTGGAAACACGTCGTAAAGGCATCAGTGCATTATATACCCTTAAAAATTGATGTGGTTTACTTTATATTATCCTAAGGGTGTCAACTATATACCCTTGATTCTGGAATCTCATCTTCCTTCTAATAACTATCAAATACATGAGCAATGAAACTATCTACATGAAGATTTCCGATTGTCCTAATTACTTGAGTGAGATAAGAGATAACTACGAAATAATATTACATGTTATATTTTTGTCCTTGCAGTATGTTCTATACCTTTATCACAGATTCGTATGGTTCTGATTTTGTTTAAGAACTTCCACATCATCTACAGCTCTACTCCTAATAGGATAAATGAAGTTTTATGAATTATTTTTCTGTCAAATAAGCTTAGCATCTCTTCTGTTGAGTGGTAGCAACAGTCAGCAACAGTTGTACAAAGAGATGAGCCAATCAATTAAAGAGAAATGCCGCAAAAGGGCAATGATTTATAGCAGTTTGCTGTAATTGCTGGCCCCTATGATACAGACTGTCTTTCTTACCCTCCTTTTGGTGTATAGCTAATGGAATAGTTCTAACTAGTGGCTTTAATTGCAACGGACCCGATATGTTTTAATTTATACCAAAAAACATAGACCGTGAGAGTGGGGTACAGGCGTTGCAGTTATATTTGAAGTATTCTGACATTTAAGAATGTCAATATCCGCTAACCTGAGAATAAATCTTCAAAAGCCTTATACAAATCACTATATTTTCTAGGATTATACACTGTATCATCTGATTCCCTCAATACTTGTAGCTTGTACTACAAAAATCACTACAATTTCTAAATCTACACACTATATCACCTGATTTCCTCTCAAATCTTTGCAGATGCCTAGACAAATTTTAACCAAATCTAAATTTAATCATTACTTTATTACAAAGTTCAAATCATGGAGATACCTTTCATGAGCTAATTGGCAACAAAGCTTGAGGTGGCACTGTGGCAGGGGACATCACTCACAATCTGTAACACTAGGCTCTAAACACTCACCCAAGTGAGACTATTTAATACCATCAAATAAGATCTCCAAAAGGATGAATATAGGTGAAGAGGAAATGTGTGATTTGCATAGGAAAAGTGAGGGTGTTGACTGTGCCCCAAGTTGCCTCTTAAAGGAGAAAGGAAGGAGATTAACATAAACTGGCAAGCTGGGAGGGAATTAGAAAAAATTGCTTCAAGCTCGCTGAGTTTTGAAATTAATACACGATTTCCCGAATCAACAAAAACACTAAAAGAAATGAAACAATTTTACAGGAACCAATACAAATAGCATCCAACATCAACTACTAATTATCTGTGCATGCCACTAACAAAACCCTAATAGATTACATTTTTACTTTGTTTTTCTTCAATATTACAAAGCCATCAAGACACATTCATTCAATTAATCCCCTACTAAAACTAACACAGAACTTCCACCAAAAAAATAAAAGTAATACACTGACCTGAGTTTCCTTGACAGTGTATCTCTCAAGTAAAGTTTTCTTCTCAGGATCAGTGAGAACCTGATGTTCCGGCACAAGAACATGGTCTTTTATGTTTACAAGCAATTCCGCCTCCTGCAAACACACACAACACCAACAATTAGTCACCTCAGCCGTTAGAAGAAAAAAAATAGGGTTTAAAAAGGGATAAATGGTTAAACGATTACCTGAAAAACTTCCAAGTGAAATTTGGAAGCCATTTCAGAGACACAGGTTCGTGCAAATGGAGTGAGACTAGTCTGACAAACAAGGATAGCTCTGTAAACGTTCTCAGAATTCATCCGATTGGTGTACGTCTTCATAGTCTTGACGCCGACCTTAGCTTCCTCAGGGAAGAAGACGTAGATCTGATCGGACTGTTTATCTTTTTTGGCTTTGTTAATAACGAGATCTTCTCTCTTCATATTATCGCCGTATTTGTTCTTGAAATCGTGTTTCGACATGTTAAGCTCAAAGTCTCCGACGAGGTAATTCCGATCTTTAAGCATTTGCATCACCGTTTTACGGATCCTATATAGCCTTGTTATCTCATCCTCCGTAAGTACCATTGTCGCGCCGTTCTTAGGAACACGGAGACTAAATTTGGTGGTGGCGGAAGCTACGGCGTTGCGGCAAGGGTTATCTTTCGCTTTTGAGCGGTGTTTCGTAGAGAGAAGGTGAATCAGGTTATAGTAATGTAATAAAATTTGGGAATTATTATGTTAAGGTTTAAATTGTGATACGTAAGTGGCAAGTTTTTGGTTTTTATTTTTATTTTTAATTTTTTTCTGTTTGCTTTAAAATTTTGTTTAAAAAAATATAGATATAGTTAGTCACCAAGTCCCTTAATTTATAGTTCTTTAACTAAAAAGACGTTATATTTCACTTATGTTATCATATTTGATATTTCTATTAATTTATAGAAAAAAAACTATTACGTTTTTGTGACGTAGCTAACAATAACACGATTGGTACAAATCTGAGTCAATATATTTAGTTAAGAATTGATACGCTATTTAAATTAGGGGATTTTTATTTTCGGAGGAATCCTATAGTTTAAGTAGTGTGCCAACTTTTAACTACATATGTTAATTCAGATTTGTACCAATGGCTTTTCTGTCACACCATGTCACCAGAATTTAAAGTTTTTTTGTCCAAAATTGACGAAAATGAACAAATTGGATAACGGAAGTGAAGTTAAAGAACTAACTTGTAACCTATTTTAGTTAAAGGACTAAAACAGAGTATCAAATTAAGTTAAAAGACTAACTCGTAACGTATTTTAGTTAAAGGACTAAAACAGAGTATCAAATTAAGTTAAAAAACTAACTCGTAACGTATTTTAGTTAAAGGACTAAAACAGAGTATCAAATTAAGTTAAGGGACTAAAACATGTATTAAGCCAAAAACATATATCTAGTAAATGAGTTACGGGTTTTTTATTTTTTTTTTATTTTTAATAAATTTCACATAGGTTTTTTAATGTTAAATCTTAAAACAAAAAGTTTTAAAATGTTGGTTCTAAAAAGGGTTGAACCCCTAATATTGATGGTTATACAGGACTTGATTGCAACTTCAGGCCATTCTGATGATTTTGCAGGTTTGGAGAAGTAGGCTCAAATCAGCTTTGACCCAGCCCTTAATTTATTGGAAATATACTTGAAGGTCAAAGCAAGGGTGCAGTGGCTTGTGGATGGGGATAGGAACACAAGATTTTTTCACAGAATAACAAAAATTCTAAACTCTTCGAAGGTGATTCACTCTATGAAAATTGGCGTTAATATTGTAACTTGCAAGGAAGGCATCGTTGCTTTTGTTGTGCAGCATTAAATAGTTTATTAAACCAAGTTTCTGTTTTGCATGGCAACACTTTGGTGGAGGAAGTTATTCCCAACTTAGTTAGTGAGCAGAGCATCAATCTTTTAACTATGATTTCGTCGGAATTCATAGTGTTGTTTTTGGCCTGAATCATGACAGTGCATCAGGCCTTGATGGATTTGGCCCCATATTCTTTCAAACTTTTTGAAGTATTATCAAGGAAGACATAATTAATGCAACATTGCAGTTCTTTAAGAAAAGTTGGATAACTTCCAACTTTAATTCTAACACGGTTGTGCTAATTCCTAAAGTCAAAGAGGGGGCAGATTGAGCAGGATATACATATTGCCCTAGTAAATTTTAAGATTGAAAACATTTCAAAAATCATGGCTGACAGATTGGTTAGGGTGCTTCCTTTCAGTATCTCCAACAAGCATAAGGGTTTTATCTAAGGGAGAAGTATAGAAGATTTTATTTGTCCCACTTCTGGAGTGGCGAACATTATGCACAAGAAATATCTAGGAGGTAATTTAATGTTGAAGGTAGACATCGCAAAGGCGTTCGACACTTTGGATTGGGCTTTCCTTCTAAAAGTGCTTAAGCAGTTTGGTTTCAATGACACTTTTTGTTTATGGATTAAAATTATTCTTGAATTAGCCAGGGTTTCCATATTCATAAATGGAGATTTGCATGGTTTTTTAGTTGTTAGAGAGATCTCAGACATGTTGATCCTCTCTTCTTATTACTATTTTACATTGCCAAAGACGTGCTTAGTAGAGGTCTGTCCAAGCTGGTTCCTTCAAATAAAGTAAATTGTTGTATGAATTTGGAGTAGTTTGACATTTGTTGTATGGCTTCAATCAAAGAAATATTGATGTGCAATTGCTTCAGAATCTCCATGAATTTTCCAAATTATTGTTCTTTCTTTGCCTTCCTTATCCTATGAGGAAAAGGTGGTGGTGGTCTTTCTTGCAAAAAGTTTGGTGTCTTATCAACTTCAGGCATGACTTTCTTCTTCTTTTCTGAATTAGAAATCATACCCTCGTTGCTTCTCTTATCACTGTCTCCTTCTTGTTCCTCTGAGGTCGGTTCCTCAGTGGATTCTTTCTTTACAGTGGTGTATTGTGGAGTCAGTTTTCCACTTGACTGTTGACTTGTTGATTCTTCACATTCTTTACCACTCCTCAATTTGATAACCTTGCAAGTTTCAACATTTTGTACTATTGAGGTAGTGGTAGAGGCTTTAGTATAACTAGGAAAAGTTACCATGTTCCTTAATTTGGCTAATAATTTGGTGCAGAATAACCAGGAGGAACTTGTGGTGCTTGAGTGTGTTGTGTTGCTTGGGGTTTATTGAGTTAAATTTGATTGTTGCTCCATGAAAAATTAGGATGATTGCGCCATCCCAGATTGTATGTGTTGTTGTATGGGTTTTTATACTTGTTTTTGCCAACATAGTTAAAAGACACATGGTTTTATGAACATTCTTCAAATAAGTGTTTTCCTCCACATTATACACAGGCAATTGTTGTCGTGTTAGTGACCGCCTTGATTGGTTATGGTTTGGCGGCTTCAGGAGACGTCGTCATATTCTTTATCATATGATGAATTTGGGCTATTTAAGTAGCAAAAGCATTGGATTCAGAAACTTCATGGACACTAGTAGGTTTCTTTGATGTTTGACTTCCTCCAACCCTTGTCACAGACCATTGGTAAGTGTAGGCTGTAATGCTCTCGATCAACTTGTAACCTTTTTCAAAATATTTGGACAACAAAGCTCCACCATTAGAGGCGTATATCATGTTTCTTGAAGATAGTACTAACCCATTGTAAAATGTTTCAAACTGTATACAAATAGGTATCACGTGGTGAGGACATTCTCTAAGCAGCTCCTTGAATCTCTCCCATGCATCAAATAGGGACTCATATTCTCCTTGCCTAAATGAGGTGATTTCATTTCTCATCTTTTCATTATTGACATGGGAAAAATACTTGGACAAAAAATTTCCAGGCAAAGTGTTCCAAGTATCAATGGAATTAGGCTCTAAGGAATTTAGCCAACTCTTGGCTCTATCTCTTAGAGAGTATGGGAAGAGTCTCAACTTGAATGCATCATTCATTACGCCTGGAATTTTAAAATTGCTGGCCACCTCCAGAAATTGTCTTAAGTGAAAATGAGAGTCTTCATTAGCAGATCCAGAATATTGCCTAATAGCTTGCAACATCTAAAACATCATAGGCTTGAACTCAAATTGAGCAGCATTTATCTCAGGCCTAATGATTCCAATATTCATGGCGCTGGGATCAAAGACTGCATAGTCTCTGATGCTACGTGCCTTATCATTAGTTATGTCAATGATGTCAGGTTCAGCCATGACTGCTTCTTTTGGTACCCATTCTTAGAATGCTTGAGCTTTAGGAATAGGATTTTCCTCTTCTGTTTGTTGTGTAACACGTTTCAATTTCCTTCGTATTCAAAATGTTCTTTTAAGTTTAAGATCTTCTTTGTATTTTGGGGATAACAACCTGCACATGCATAAGCTCTACACCTGTCGTGACACCAGAGCACAGGAAATGATGAAAAGCTCAAATGCTAATTTCAAACAAAAATAATCAATACAGTAATTCAAAATACTTCTTGACACTCCCCGGCAATGGCGCCAAAAACTTGTTGTGCGTAAAAACGATTATGATGTCACATGCAAGTATACATGAATATTTAATTGCAGCAAGTGATATTAGTAAGGATATTGTACCCATAGGGAGTGAAAGAGGTTTAAATTGAACTTTTTTGTAAGTACTATTGTTTAAAAACTAACATGAATAAGGTAACAAAATAATAGTTGACAACAAGTTTAGATTGTTCATAACACAGAACTAAATGCAATAAGTGAATGTTTGATTAAATCAAGATAGTGATATTAACCTATGGTCCATTAATATGCTTAGTGACCAAAATATGTATATGATGAGATGTGTCGTGCCTCAAAAGGTGAGAACGTGATCTATATGTGTATATTTACAACATCAAAACATGCATTACTAGGACAAGGGAACAAATATCTAAGTCTCACTTATAACCCTAAAATATGTCTGTTTTGACCGTTAGATGATCTCTCTAAATAACAATCGAAACAATAATCATTAAGATCGATACAAAGCGGATATCAACTTTCAAATCTATCTCAAGCATTTGTATACTTGATAGATTAAGATATTAGGTCAAGACTTGGAAAGTTCATGTCTAAAGAAATCCAAACCATAAATGTACAAAAAGTAGCAAATAGCTTCATCTACATTGATCATAACATTGTTCACATACAAGAGATTAAGAAGAATACATAAAATCTGAACTAACTACTCCTAACCTTGACAAGAGAGGGATTTATCCACTCATTTTCATGATAGATTGAGCAACAAGTTTCGGAAGAAGGTTGATCAACATCTGAGTCGAATAATCGAGAATGGATGGGAATCCACCTTCTTTTGGTGAAATATTGCTAAGAGATTATGAGAAATGAAAGAATGGGTTTCTAGGTCAAAAAAATCCTCTCAAATGCAAGTACAAGAATTTAGATATTTTTACAAAAATTAGTCTATGCTACTTATAGAAGGGTCACTTGAGCTGTTATGTTCGCTAGGCGAACAAAGTGGTTCGCCTAGTGAACCCCAAAAGTGCCACCTGAAGTGTCTATGCCTTATGAACTCTCCCTAGGCTAGTTTCCAAAAGTTCGTTAGGCGAGTAATCCTTCGCTTAGCGAAGCCTTCGCTGTGAACTTTGCTTAGCGAGTTTATGGCCCTTTCCTTGCTGTTTTAAGTCTAGGGGTGTTCGTTGGTTACTCGCTGCTTCTTCGCCTAGTGAGTTTATGTCTCTTTCCTTACTGTTTTGGATTCTTGGCTTTCGCTACATAGTTCGCCTAGTGAACTTTGTGAAGTTTTGGAGGGAGCTTCGCTGGCCAGTTCGCCTAATGAACTTGCTGATGTTTGCTTGCTGTCTTGGTTTCCTTGTCATCTTTCTTGTGTCTTAATTCTCATTATTTCATGCCAAATTCCTGCAAAATAACACACAAATTAAAGGTACCAAGATACTTTCACACAAAGTTGCAAACCAACCAAAGCAAGAGTGATTTTGAACACTTTCTTGACAAAAAAGGAGTGAAAGATGCCCACATTTGATAGCTCAAATAAGCACAATTGCGCATCTAACAGTAAGCTAATTAAGTGAATATCTATATCCTACTTGTTTTAACCACTTTTGTTATGAAATCTACTTGTTGTTGAATCTCTCACAACAACAAGCTTTTATCATTTTCTAAGTTGATCATTCAAAGAAACGAATTTATAGCATAAAAACACATAACAAAATAAGACACTAATATCACATCATTTTAACATAAAGACAACATTATACTAATTTCACACGGCTCAACAAATAAGGGTTTAGCTCATAGTGAGCCTAGTACAAACTAATGAACTGAAACTAACATAAAACATACTTAAACAAAAGATATAAAAGAAATGACAACCTAATAGTAACTTAGAGATCTCTTGTGTTGGATAAACAACAAGTGAAATTTTTAGTCGTGCCAGCTCTTAGAATGAGTACAGGATTGGGTGAGAAGAAGAACTCTCTCTTTTCTCACAAAACCTCACACTGAATAAAATTAAATACTACTAAAACTACTTTCTCGATGAATGTATGGAACTTTTTCTCCAATTCCTAAGGTCAGCTTTTATAGGCACCAATATGGATGTGAAAATTGGTAGGCTTCAGATCATGGACTTTTGATGCAAACAAGGTTCAACCTATATTTAAATTAGCATATTCTCTTTTGCCCTCAATTTTTCGTGAACAAGCATCCTGGTATAGACAGTGGTGGGGGGCATGGTGTCCGATGCAGGCTGCTACAGCAGGTAGTGGCGCAGAGGTGCATTCGGTGCAATGTTTGAGTGCAGGGTTTGCTATAGGTGGTCCCCATCGTACTACTCTTATCTTCTTATGTCATTGATTTTCTACTTCTTCCAAACACAATTCTACCACACAAGCCCTAGAAATTTACAGATTTCATGCTCTTGGTCATTATCTTCTCGTGATCTTCAACAACTTTCTCGTTTTCCTTTTAACTCTATCTTTCAGACACTGTCCAGACCAGTCATGGCTCAACTTGCCTTAAACTGCCTTGAAATTCATTAACAAATACGGAAACTACAAAATAAGCACTTATTGTGCTCAAAACAAGATAAGGTAAAAACACTAAAACTTAATAAATAAACATTAGATTCATCACAAAAACATAAATGAAATGAGATAATAGTAACACAATAAAAATGGATTATCATAAGCAAAGCATTGTGACTTTGTCATCATGTGAAGGTGAGTACATGGCTGCATCATATGCAGCATGCCAAATAACATGCATAGAGATGTTGCTCGAAGAGCTCAAGATAAATGGAACCTAAGAAAACGAAACTAGTCGGAAGAGTAGGAATACGTTGTATTCGACAGAGTCAAATACAACATTTAAGTTATTGTGTTGAAGCCAAAATATAACTTATATATTTTGGACTTGGGTCAATTTGTACAGTTTTAAGTATGAGTTTTAGTTGCATATATAAAAACATTGTATGATATAAATCAAAATAACACTGAATCCTAATTTTTATAATTCAGTTTCTTTTTTTTTTCTTTCTTTTTTTTCTCTCATTTTTCTTAAAAACTCTTCTGTTCCAACTTCAACTTGAATAATGATGCCACAAGCTTCATACTACCAGTATGTTTAAGGTCATTCAACCTACAAATTTTATTCCCTGAATTTCAAAGTTCTAAGACGAAAGAAGATAAATAAAAAAATGAAACCAGGCTAGAATGAAGGAGGTGATATTGGTTTTGAATCATTAAAATAATAGTAAAAGTGAAATGAAATTGAAAAAGTAAATTTGAAAATTCTTTAATTCATTTTAATATATTAAAAAGTAGAAAATGAAAATAATACTATAACACAATAAATTTTAATAAAAATTAATCCAAGTAAATTCTGACACTTGGTTGGTGAGTTCAATAACTCAGCAAACGTGGAAGGAAATCAAACAAAACTTAAAGTTGAGAATTAAAAAATTAAGTTTTGTTATAGAGGATAAAAAAATTTTAAAGCACTTAAAAAAATATATACATTTAAGCTAACCAATTATTATTAATGGTGTTCCGTGTAATACATGGAAGAGTATCAACTAAACTAGTATAGAGATACCTGTTTGTGACTTTGTGGCCCTGTTCAAAACCACCCTCACCGTCTTGTACATAGGATTCGTTTCAAACTATTTCCAACACACTGAGGTATGGATTAAAAAAGAAAATACTTACAAACTAGTTATCTCAAAAAATTCAGAGCAAAAATAATAAAAAATCAAATCTGATTTGTAAGCAAAATATAAATTCAAAACTTTATATTCAATCATAAAAAAAAATTGATAACTAATTCCTCAACTGTACAATTTAACTCAAATAACCTAAAAAAACAGTCAGGATAAAAAAAACGAAGCTCAAGTTTACAGTTAGATAAAAACAACCGAAACAATGATACTCAAAACGACAGATGAATTAAACACAAAACGACATAAACCCGAATCTACTGCCGCAACTCTTTTCGGAGTTTCTGAGAGAATGATTTGCACGCATCCATGCTCAAATCCATGGCAGCTGCAAGTGCAACAAACGCCGCAGCATCCTCCGCACAAGTCACGTGCTTCACACCAACCTCCACCTCCGGTTTACTACACTTCTTTTCCCCGTCAAACCTCGCTGACATCACAAAACCTCTGTAGAAAAACTGATTCTCTAGTGAGAAATCCGAACCGGATCCGGATCCAGGTCTTGAACTCGTTCCTGACCCGAGATCCCAGCTTCCGTGTGGAGTACTCGCCGGAGTAACACCAGGCGTAACATCAATAGTGAATTTACCTCCGTGCTGTGAATTAATAGTACACGCGGCGAGTGTAACAGGATCTGCGGTGGCCGGGAGAACGTCGAAACGATAACCGACGCCGTTTGAGTTGCCAGGCTCACGCCATGCCTCGAGCCGACCCCATGGCTTCCATGTACCGTCGCCATCGGGTCGAATAATAAGCCAAGCTCCCGGGTTGGATTTGCTGACTCGTTGTGAACCGGGTGAGGGAACAAACGGAGTAACCATGGATGCACACGCAACCGGTGAACCAGATAAATCGTGTATCGTAATAGACCATCCTTTTCGATCCGCTACCATAGGATGATTAGCAGCATGAAATTGAACCGGGTTTCTATCTCTGAAACTGAACTTGCAAGTGAAAACCGGTTGTTTGACGTCTCCTTTGACTTGGAAAACCTGTGGACTACACTCTGGTTCGCCGTCGAACCGGAAAATGAATCGTGGATCCGGTTCGGACCGGATAGTTAAATGCAATAGCTGAGCTTGAGTTTGAGTTTCGGTTTTGTTGTTGTTGCTTTTGGTTAGAGCAACCCAACCGTTATGAAAAGAGCAAGGTCGTGATTCCGATAAGGAGAGATCGAGTGGAATTGAAATTTGACCCAACAATTTGGAGGAATTGAAAACGCATGAAGGATTTGTTCGTGTTTTATAGACGGAGATTTTGATGAAAGGGTTTTTAATATTGGAGAGTTGCGATTTTGGGAAATCGAAGCTAGCGGCGAGAGAGTGAGGGTGAGTTTCTGATTCTGATATTAGAGGAACGGTTGCGACGTGGCACGGTGGTGAATCAACGCCTCTGAGTTTGATTTTGCAGTAGCATGGAGAACTGGAAGGGTGAACTTTGCCGGAGAACGATGGGTTTGAGGACGCCGGAGATTTGATTGCTAAGTTTCCGATGAGAATCCGTACGAAGGAGCACGGATCCATTGGATAAGGGTTTGAGAGAAATGAAATGAAATGAAATTGAAATTTGAATGAGAAAGTGAGAGAAAGAGTGGTTGGTTATGTATGTGGAGTTCGAGTATGGAAACTGAAGGTGACAGGCTGTTACTTAGTTGGGTTTGGGAAAGATTCATTATTCTGTTTCTCGCTGGATTATTATTATTATCTTTTAATTTCTTATACGTTCTTATTATGGTGGGGACATTAATTAATATTACAATCTCAACCTTTTCCTATTCAGTTGTCTTATTTATTTATTATCTTATTTTACTTCCATCTTTTTGTTTTTTATTCCTATTGTTAGGAATTCTTATATTTGCTTTGTCATTTTCTTATTTTTACTAGTATTATTATCTGCTTCTTCAATTTCTGGTTCTGTATAGTTCTATATTTTTATTTTTATTATTATATTTTATTGTATATTATTATATTTATATTATTGTATTTATATTATTATATTTTATTAAGTTTTTATATAAGACTTTTGATATTTTTCTATTTGACTAAGGTTATTTTTATTGTAAGAAGAATTAATTACTTTTCAATTACATATTTTATAAAATTATAAATTTATAAATATAATAATTTAAATAAATGTATAATTAAAAGAAAAGTAATACATTAAAACTATATAATTTTTTATATACAAGATTATAAATATCAATTAAATTCATCTGATTATAATCTTTTCTTACATATATCATAGTTATCTTATGATTAATTATTAATGTTTGATCAAAACTAACCACAGTTTAATTAAGACCGTAAACACTCCGTTTCGTCAAGTGTCAAATTTAAAATAACTACATATTAGTTGACATATATTTTAATAGTTGATATGTACGTATATTTCAATAAATTATTATATGTTGAAATAAAATAAATTAATATAATATTGAATAATTTTATAAATTTGGTAAAATTTTATAAATTTGTTCCAGTTAATAATAGTAATAATTATTGGTTCAACAATCGAAAATTTAATTCATCCTCCATAAATAATTATTGAAATAAATAAGTGTGGTAAGTATGACATATAATATATCAAAATCATAAAACAAAATCAATAAATCAATAAATCAAAGTTAAATTCATATTGTTCTTGGTTGGCTAAAGGACTAACGGACAATTTAGGGAACCAATAATTTGCTCATTTGTTTATAGGATAGAAGTCTTATTACGTGGAAGAACGGAGACGATTTAGGTTTAAGATAAATTTAACGGGTCTTTTAATTTGATGTCTGAAGATAGTGAGTTGTTACAATCGTCCTACTTTATAAAAGGAAAAAGTGTCATTCTCTCTGTACATAATTCATCTTATTTAGACAATGACTTAAGCGTTTGAGTGATAATCTTGTAGGACATATCCTTTTACTCGCCGCATCGGAAACTCAAATCTATCATTGCATATCGTAACCTCCAGTCTCTAATAAACTATGGCTCCATAACGAAACAATGACACCGCCTGTGAGACGTAACTTCTGACTCCACTGTTTTTGACGATTGGATACTCCTATTTCGATTCACCAATGTGAAGTTTTCTCAACCTAGCAGATATGAGTTCTTGAGATCTAACCACAGATATGTTGTATTCGATATACTCCTATAGCATATCAACTAAGATTTTTTCAGAAATTCCAAATCTTTAATTTCCAAATCTTTAAACAATGGTGGGGTATAAAGTCACTCGCTCCACTGTTCTGTGTGAAACGGACACCACTATTGTTATTGCTCATGTTGCAATAGATCTATTGCTTCTTCCTCAAGGCGGTGCAGGTCATGTCGTTGTGAACACTTCATTACATCCAGATCTCCTCCAACCTCCTCAGATCGTAGGCACAATCAGGTTTCCAGTTGTTACGAGTTAGCCTCAGAATATAATGCGCGGACAAGTTATTGAATATTACTTTGTCTGGAATAAAGCTTACACAACGCAAATCCAAAAGGAAATACAGTTCAAGAAACCACTTTCGAGATAAGCTGAAATATCATCTTTGACATGCAAGATGACCAACGTTTTGACAAAGGTGACTAACCGTTTATTTAGATAATGCTTCTTCTAGGAGAGATCACTCTCCTGTAAATGTATGACCGATTCCCTGTCAGGAAATGACCTTTGTTTCAATACATATAAAATAGATCGATACACCTGTTTTCGAACCCGAAACCCTATGGTACATACTGTCACATGGGCCTTTTTGCAGAGAGGAATAACTAGGAAGATTTTATATTCAAAATGTTTCATGCTCTTAAAAAAAGTCAGAAACAACAAGTAACCTACAGAAGATAATCAAGCCCTGAGTTTGCATCTGGTTTGCTGGACTACATTGTACTATGAAAAGGTGAAGAAAAAAAAGGACAAAAGGGGGTTTTCCCATTATATTCGCACAAAATACTTGAATAATTTAATGTACACCTAACTCATGGGATTCTGCTGTGAACAAGGGATCGTCAAATGGTTTAAAACTTCTATCTCAAAGTTGTTCAAGGCAAACAGAGGCACGAGATCGAAAGGTGTACTCGTAGAAAAGAATGACGCATTCGTCATACTCACTACAAATCCTTTTATTTCCCTCAATGGTCAATACACCACAATCCGAAGAAGCACCTGCATCCACAAATTCCATATTAATACTACCATCTTGAGCAAAGGTAGAGGTAGTTGTTGAAATGACAAGATCAACCCAAGAAGCGGAAACATCTTCTTTTGATTTTTGATTCATGATAGGCACTGCTTCTTTCAGTTACAGAAAAATAATATGTTGTAGAAATACATATGACAAATAAGCAAAGGTAGAAAACGTCTTAATAAGCTGTATAATTGACTCTTCAGAGATCACGTGATGACTTATCAAAAAGTAATACGCATTATAAACACACTAGATCGCCTCAGGAAGACACTCGAGTATTCCAGTTTTCAAAGATCATTATTATATAATCTACGGAAAGATATGTGTGTAGCATGAGGTGCATTTAAGGTGTGAATTCTCAAGGACATCAATGTCCCGTCTTTGCTTTCCATTCAAGCTAAGATGTGGCCAATAAAAAATGGCGTATACGACAAAAACCCTCGCACTGTTGAGCAAAGACGATGGGCTTAAAGGCATTTATTTTGAGCCGCCTATAAGGGTCGATGCCCACAAGCCAGAGAAGGAAATATTTTGCCAATTCATTTGCGGAGTATGAGTGTTGTCAAGGGGAATAACGTAGGAGATATGAGTTCAAGATACATTAAACGACTCCCCACATCTCACACTTGAAGAATGGTAGATTGTTACAATCGTCTTACCATATAAAGAAAAAGTGCGTCGTTCTCCAGGTACACAATTTAAATTCAAATTTCACTCACTTATCTTATTCAGATACGAACTTAAGCGTTGAAGTAGTAATCTTGTAGTTCAGTTTTTTTCCTCACTGCATTGGAATCTCAAATATAGATTTACACCTCGCAACTTCCCATCTCTAACTAATTATAGTTCCATAACAAAATATATACAAAATCTTAACTTTTATTTTAATTTAATTCAATAACTCAAATTTACATTTAAAGATGTATATGATATCTTTAATATCTTGATGTTACCGATTACATATTTAATCAAAATCTTTATCAATAAATTAATGCTATTATTTTTTACTTTTCTTTTTCTCTCTACAAAAGCATGTTCATTGAACATTAAAAAAAAATATATCACCAAATCACGACAATTAACCTTTTTTTAATTTAAAATATTTAAATAATATAAAAAAAGATTTAATATATACTAAGGCAAAACATAAATTTGATATAGTTTTTTTGTTTCTTTCAAATATATATTTTTTAATTTTTATTTTAAATTATAACTTTGTTTTTTTAATAAATGGCAGTTATATGACAGTATATCATCTTTCATACTATTATTTTTTATTATTTTTTAAATAATTTAAAATAAAAATAAAAATAAATACAATTTATATTTTATGCTCTTGCGGACAGACAGTGCTACTATACATATAATGTATGCATTTTAATGTAAAACAATTTATAAACTTATATCATAATAATTCATGATATTAACATTAGTAATATTCACTGTATGTCATTTTTTTATATAAAAAATGGACAACATAATAATAATTTTCAGAAAATAAAGCATAATAATTATTGTTATTTATATAAATATTTATAAAATAACATATAATTTAATTTTTATACTTATTTTATATTTTAACCACAATATATATATATATATATATATATATATATATATATATATATATATATATATATATATATATATATATATATATATATATATATATATATATATATATATATAATTTTATTTTATGTTTTTTTATCCCGTAACGGTCTTAACCAAGACACAATCTTAATTACGAAATTTTGGTAATGTTTTTAAGGTAATAATTTATGATTACACTGTCATATTTCCTTAAAAGAAACCAAAAACTCAATCCATCATTCAATTTTAATTTATTCTTATGCTTGTTTTTAGAGATAATGGAGATTGAAGATACAGAAAAAGGAATGAGCTGTGATGCAGAGATAACACGAAGGGTAAAAAGACAGCCAGCAAGAAGTGATTAGAAAAGTTTTGTCGTATATTGTTATAATGGATTTGAAGTGTGCACGTACGTACGTTATCTTTATTTGGTCACAAACGAATATGTCGGGATCCAACTCTCATACAGCTGTCTCTCATCGACATAAGCTGTTTGTTGCTATCTTCATTCTGTGGGTGAGGGACCCATTTTTACCACTTTCAATTTCATATGGAATCTTTTTCTTAATTCTTATTTATTTTCTTTTATTCTTCTTTTTAAATAATTATATTATTATAGAAAATTTAACTTAATATTAATGGCAATGTTTCAAGGTATAGGTCGATGATGCTTGACCATGACATGGGAAGTCTGGTCGGAAGACAAAAATTGAGAAGAGTCCACGTGTTGAAGAGAAGAGTAATGATCCACAATTAATTAGG